TGGCAACAGTAGTGAGGTTGGCCCAGGATTGGGCAGTGTTTTGTTCTGCTGTGCATAAGGTCATGATGGGTCGAGCGTGGCAACAGTAGTGAGGTTGGCCCAGGATTGGGCAGTGTTTTGTTCTGCTGTGCATAAGGTCATGATGGGTCGGTGCCGACTCAATGGCACCTAACAACAAGAATACTCCAGGGTAAGAAGAGCCGATCAGAGAAGGCAGGAAAGGAAGGTGGGAAGGGGAGAGTTGCTTGAAAATTTGATGTTTTGGATATCTCTGTCTCTCTCTCCTGTTTTCTTTCGCTTTAGTTTTCATTATTTCAAAACACCAACCTGATTATGCTTTTGCAACATCTTTATTAAAAATAATTTGGACATCTGAGAATATCATAAGGAAGAAAATACAAATTTACTTGTACCCTAAAAGCTAGGCAAGAACACTTTCAACATTTACATTTCTCTCTCTTGAACAAAATGGGCATTGTTATTATTGTTGAGTGCCATCGAGTTGGTTCTGATCCACTGCGACCCTGTCTAGGGTTTCTGAGGAGCAGATGGTGAGCTTAACCCACTCACCTTGCCATTCAAACTGACTTTGCAGTCCACGCAATAACCCGCAGCGCCGGCCAGGATTTCAAGATAGGTATCAAGAGGTTCTTATGTTTACTTAGGATAAGCACTGGACTGCAAAGTTGGTTTGAACCACAAGGTCAGCTGTTCAAATTCACCAGCTGCTCCTTGGAAACCCTATATAGTTGCTGTGAGTCGAAATTGACTTGATGGCACTTAACAACAACAATAATGCTTACTTTGAAAGGAGCCCTGCTAGTGTAATGGTTAAGCAAGCTTGGCTGCTATCCAAAAGGTTGGTGCTGAAAACGCCAGTGACTGAAGAGAGAAGATATGCGGTCTGCTTCTGAAGTAATTGCAGCCTTGGAAACCCTGTGCGGCAACTCTACTCTCTCCTCTAGGATTACTAAGAGTCTAAGTCGGCCGGCACACAGTAACGGTGACACGTTTACTTTGGATTTGTCATCAGGAAAGGCTAATAACATCACATTTGAAAATGTAGAGGTTGGTGGTGGCAGTTGTATGTCGTGGAGTTGGTTCTAATGTGGCATTGTGGGTTAACATGCTGGACTGCAAAGTTAGTTTGAACTGCAAGGTTGGTGGTTCAAGTTCACCAGCTTCTCCCAGGAAACCCTATACTCGCTATGTATGGGTCAGAACTGACTTATGGCACTTAACAACAACAACAATAGGGTTTCTGGTAGCGTAGTGGTTATAAGTTGGTTACCAGGAGCGCTGGTAATGTAGTGGTTACAAGTCAGGCTGCTAACCTCAAGGTCAGCAGTTTGAAACTATAAGCTGCTTTATGGTAGAAAGATGAGGCTTACTGCTCCTGTAAAGATTTACAGCCTTGGAAAACCCATGCAGTTGGAACTGACTCCATGGCATAGCCCCCACCACCATAGGGTTTCTGAGGCTATAAATCTTTATGGGAGCAGAAAGCCTCATCTTTCTCCCATGGAGTGGCTGGTAGATTTGAACTGCTGACCTTGCAATTAGTAGCCTAACTTGTAACCCACTCTGCTACCAGAGCTTCTGTTACCAGAAACTCTGTGAAAAACAAGGGAAACCCTCAACGAGGTAGAGGGACACAATAGTTGCAACAACAGGCTCAAACATCCCAGGCGCCATGAAGGACCAGGCAACATTATGTTCTGCTGAACCTAAGGTCGCCATGAGTTGGAACCAACTTGATTGCAACTAACAGCAACTTTTAACATAGTTTTTTCCCCATGCTATTAAATGTTCTCTTATAGCTCAACTTTAAACTGGCACATAAAAGTTCACTCTAGGGAGACTCCGGGACTTATGTAAGCATGAGTTTATTTTTGGAAATTTAAGTTGTTTGTAATGTTTCGGTGTTATTAAAGGTCACAGTAACCATCCTTTTGTGTATATCTTTCTTTCTGTGCAGTTGCTCAGTCAAAGGAGAAACATGTTTCTGTGCCTTTTTGTTTGTATTCCCCTCAGTAGAGTATAAGCATGCTGTCTGAGGAAGGAAATGGACAGAGGCGAGCACAATTTAATAAACAGGATCGAGCTTTGTTTACATCCCAGCTGCAATGACACATGTGATCTAGATGGTGTGAGCTAAGCATGTAAGTCAGAGATGTAATTGATTAACATCACATCACAACACGTGATAAAATAACAGGATCTGAGCTCTCATACCTTGTGGTCACCCGGCATAAGGTAGAGGCTAAACCAGTTGCTGTCCAGTTAGTTCCAAGTCATGGTGACCGTGTGTGTGGCCGAGTAGAGCTGTGCTCCATAAGGTTTCCCTGACTGTGACCTTTGGGAACCAGATCTCCAGGGCTTTCTTCTGAGATGCCTCTGGGTGGGCTTAAATGGCCAACCTTTTGGTTTTAGCCACACATCTGACCACTTGCCTCACCCTGGGACTTCTGGGGAAAAACTTGTTGTTGTTGTGTGCTGTCAAATTGGTTCAGACTCATAACGACACTGTGTTGGGCTTTGTGGCTGTGAATCTTTATGGAAGCAGAAAGTCTCATCTTTCTTCCTCAACAGCTGGTGGATTTGAACCGCTGATCTTGTGGTTCGTTAGCAGTTATTACACCACTAGGGTTACCTGAGGTAAAGCTAGTGTGGAACTATTGTCATCCATGGCCTTTTCACCTGGAGTTCCTGACATGGCCCTCGTTTCTTGTGAGTTTGCTATTTTCATTACAGATGACTTACATGCTTGATTAAATGTCAGTGATTTCTTGTGTATCAGTATATTCCCAAATCGGCATACATACACCACATCTTTTGTGCTAGGTTTAAGCTCAGCAAACAGTCACAAATGAGACTGTGGATTAGAATGAGCTGTCAAAAGGGTTAGAGTCAATTACAGCTGGACCTGGACCTGAATTTCACCTCTGTAACTCATTGTTGTGTGATCTTGCATGTATTGCTTTTCATTCTGTCAGCCTCAGGCTTTTTTATCTGTAGTGCAGGCCCAATACATGGGAGAGAGATGAGGCTTTCTACTCTTGTAAAGATTTAGAGCCTTGGAAACCCTACCTGGGGACACAATGAGTTGGAACTGACTTGAGGGCACAATGACAGCGAGAGGTCCAATAACACCTCTTCACAGATGGTTTCGAAGTTTCAATAAAACAAATCAGGTAAAACCCGCCCCCCCGGTCTATGCCTGGTTCTTAGTAGATGCTCAATAAAAATATAAAAGGAGAGACCTGGTGGCACGGTGGCTTAAGCATCAGATTGCTAACTGAAAAGTCAGTGGTTCGAGCCCACCAGTTGCTCCTCTGGAGAAAGCTGAGGCTGTCTGCTCCTGTAAAGATGTATAGCCTTGGAAACCCTAGGGAGCTGTTCTCCTCTGTCCTAGAGGGTTGCTGTGAGTTGGCATAGACTCC